CAAAGTTTTCACACCATGAATGTAATCTGCAGCTGATGAACCGCTCGCCATACTTCAAAAAGATTTTCTGAATTTAAAATATTTTCACCTGTGTATATTGTTTTTAAAATTAACTGAAAAACGTCGCAGGAGACATCATGTAGAACAACACAGTTCTCTGTGACTTCCTTCATGCCAGAACGGAAAAGTCCGCGAAAAAAATCCGAACAGCCCGCCAGGATGACTCGATGACATTCGATTGTTACGTCGGTGATCTTGACACGAAAGTCAAAGAACATTTTGTCATTCCACACATTCTCTAGACACTTGACGATCTGAGTACAGATGTTTGGTGGGTTCATGGTGTCAGTTAATCTGTAACAAATGATCAAAGAGTCAGCAAATCTGTAACAATTAAGGATAATAGAGTCAGCCAATCTGTAACAAATCATCAAAGAAGCAGCCAATCTGTAACAAATGATCATAGAGTCAGCTAATCTGTAACAATTAATGATAACAGAGTCAGCCAATCGGTAACAAATGATCATAGAGTCAGCCAATCTGTAACAAATTATCAAAGAGTCAGCCAATATGAAACAAATGATTATATAGTCATCCAATCAGTAAAAAATGATCTAAGAGTTAGCCAATCTGTAACAAATTATCAAAGAGTCAGCAAATCTGTAGTTAATCATCATAGAGTTAGCCAATATATAACATATGATAATAGAGTCCGGCAATATGTGGTCAAATTTTTTTAATAAAAAATACACAACCCTGACATTAATGATCTATGCATTAATTTTAAATCTGTCTTTAATACTTTAATACTAATATTTGTTTCTTGTAAACATTACTTCTTAAGTAATTACAAAGTTCTTAATGTTTTCTTTTGTTCATACTAGAAATGAAGTAAAATGATCGAAACATAATTTTTATCTATACCCTGAAACGTTCAAACAATGTAGCTTAGTTTGTTTTCAACCAATAATAAAATGATCGAAATAAACTATCAATTGTGACAATTGATATTTACGTGGCGTGTGTGATCAGAGTTTCTTCCAGACTTTTTTCTCCGAGGGGGGGGGGGGGGGGTGCACTTGAAATTTTTGGGAGGGGGGGATGCGGTAGACTATCTTGGGGGGGGGGGCGGGAGAAATGCCTGTAAATAACTCTGGGTGTGATTATGTTTCCAATAGAGCCAGAGTTTTGATAAATTAAAAACGTTGTAGTCTATAGTTTAAAGAAACCTCAAAATTATGTTGTTTTTCTTTTTACAAAAATTCTATAATTTTTTTTACCAATGTAAAGTATTTTGTAAGAGTTTTATTTTTTTCAAAATTTAGTTTTGTCAGTTATTATATTTTACGGCTAGAATTATTAAGCTTTATCTAGTATTAAATAGATTAATGCATAATATGATCAACGTAATTTGTCCATAACCTATAGCGGAACAACGATGTATCTAGTAATATGAATCGTCTTTTTTTGTAAGCCCAAGTAAATATGTTGTATATTAAATATTTATTGATCCTAGGCCTCACCAGATTCACCTGGCTGTTCTATGACAATAGTTTACAGAATTGAATATTGTTGAGTTCTGGTGAAATTGTAATGAAGTCTAATTTGAAGAGCTCTGTCATACATTGGCTAAAGTAATGGAGATTTGTTGTTGTAAACAGCCCTTTTATTTTTTTCAGAAGAACTAGACTCATTAGATTCATTAATTAACACCAGCGCTAAATAACTCTGGATTAGCTCTTGTTTATTTGGCCTTTATTGCATCGAAAGATGCTTGGATTAAGACTGTTTAAAGATTCGCTTATGAAGACTAGGTTTAAATTACTCTACTTACAATCTAGTTTTTATTGGGATAATGATTTTTAAGCGGTGCGTTTTCAATGTTGTTTTTTTCCCAAATACCACTAGCTAATCCCCTTTTAAACAATATTTTAAAATCTGAAACTCAATCCTGTCTCACCAACTCACCCTAACATTAACAATAACCATCTACATAAAACGTTATACTAACTTGAATACGGATATCCTGTCTCTCCTACTCACCCTAACATTAACAATAACCATCTACATAAAATGTTATACTAACTTGAATACCGATATGTGGTATACAGTATCTTGCATATATTTTGTTCTTGAGTATCACCTCACCAATATCTTCTACCTCTACCTCGATTGAAACACCATTACAAGACCAAACAAAATACCAAAGCGTTAATTTCTGAACTACGATTATGGTATGGTAAAGCTCTATATCTTAAGACTTCGATAATTTAAATAAACTACCATAACCCTAAAAACTGATATTTGGTATTTGTCAGTTCATTTTGTCAGCATTCTCATCGCCAGTATCTTAAGGATCTATTGTAACACTAACCATGCCTTAGTCTTAAACCTTTCTCTAAACCACGCCTTATATTTACAACGTTAGAATATCTTTCGAATCCACAGAGTATCAATAATGTATAGCACTCAAACATTTCCCTAACGATATCCTTAAACCAAACTATAAACCAAAACAAACTCTAACCATTTAATCTTTTTCCCGTTCGTGCCCAAGACACATTGGACTGATGAAACATAGTTCATCTATTTCAGTGACCTTGGCATTGTGGACAGCACTTTGTTTCACTAACACGGACTCAGGGACGTCCTAGGGATCTCAAGTCGGGATCCGAACTCGACACTTAGGGGTTTGCTGTCTTAAGCGCTACCATTCGACTACATCGGCCCCTGATCAGATATTTATTTCTATGAATTAAAGTATCGTTTTGTCAGTTAGGGATTATATAACTATGAATGCTGTCTAAAATTTATAACTGCCTACCTTAACTCTAATTTAAACACGAAACCTAAAAACACCCTAACTTGAACGCTAAAAGCAAACCAACATCAACACCGACATAAAACGTTAAAACTGTCCTCTTTACTCTTATACCAGCTTCTCGCGTAATTATTTAAAGTACCTTCATTAATATTTTGGATTATATGGTGTATCTTAAAAGCTGTAGATCTAAGAATCTAGTTGTTTACAAGGTCTGGAGTAAAAAATATAATAATGTTGTTTGCAAACATACCGTGCTTCATTGGTGCGACACACATAAATAGATCTAGTAATGGAATAAAACAAAGTGCGCAAAAATTTGAGGGTTTTCTGAAAACACTATCAAGACGTAGGGCCTACTAGGCGACCTAGTTTAGTGTTGGAAAACGGTCTGTCAGCTGCACTGCATAACACATACTGATATTCCATTGCACCCATCCCCACCCTTTATAAAGCTTTTTATCCCCAACTTTAGACCAGAAGACCCGCCACATCCCTTTAGGATATTCCAGTGGCGTAGCTAGGTCGAGTGTCACCTGGTGCAGCAGCTAATGGTGTCACCCCCTCACCACAGACGTAGATTGAATATAAAGTCATTACGATTTTTCAATGAAACCTTTTTCCTCAGGCAAATTTTGCAACGTTTAGTTGATGTAGCCCCCCCCCCCCCACCCCACCGGCGATAGCGTTAAACTAGGCTCAGATTTCACCAACGATGTTTATCTATAGTAGGTTTTCTTAAAAGTTTATTTAATTATAATTAATCATTTATTTAACCGGAATAATAATTTGATCCTGTATATATTTTGCTAATTTTTGCCTTAGTGACACCTTATTATATTGTGTCACCTGGTGCCGTCCGCCCCCGCCCCGCTCGATATGCCTCCTGGATATCCATTTTCTGACGTCCATGCGGTTTAGGAGGAGGGTGTCATAGTAATGTAAAGCTTTGTGGACGCTTGCAGGGTGGGGGGGGTGTAGGCTGGCTTAGCGGTAACTTACACTCATCATATAACATTCGCATACTATTACGGAAATAACAATCAATATGGTTACAGGACAAATGATCTCAGACAAAATATGGCAGACAAAATATATCACGGACAAACGGTCCAAGGAGAAATGATCACAAGACAAATTATCTCAGGACAAAAGATATGAGGACAAAACATATCAGGACAAATGGTATCATGGACAATAAATGATCTCAGACAAAATATCTCACAGCAAAATATATATCAGTGTATGATCATTAAAGCTACTACAATACCAATTCAAGTTACTCTCTCGTCAACATCCTATACTACCATGAACTGCGACGAAACATGAATTCCCTCCACTTATAATTTACTGTTACTAAAATGTTTTCATTTTGTTTAAAGCTACGCACTTAATAAACATTTACAGATTTTGAACATTTTTGTCGCACCTAAACGCACGTAGATCTATATATAGATGTAAACCAATATACAAACATTTGTTTACTTCTGGCTTTAACAGTTATTAGCTACTGATTAATATTTGACATAAAAAAGGTATATTTTAAAATTCCGCAAGAACATCATTATAAATAGTGGTAAGTTTTTGACCCTAGATAAGCTTTCATGTCATCGAATCACGTCTAGCTAAAGTGCTCAAAATTTGCAACAAATATTTTTAAAATCTTTATTGATTTACTATTGAACAGTTCGGGGTGTCAAAATAAAAGTTAAACCATTTAACTAGATCTATACCGAGTTCTGAAATTACTGATATAATAATTGAAATCTAAACATTATTTATAGCAGATGCTCTGCAGTAAAAGGGACTAAGTACACAATTGTTTACGGTTACGATACATTAAATCAAAGGAGATCATCTATGTGTTGCTAATCTATTACACGACTTTATAAATACAATTAAACTAGCAACAAAAACTGTTTTTAGACATCACATAATTCACTATTTAAAATAAAATAAATTGAAATGCTAGAATGTGGGCTTTTATGCAGCTGAATAAAGCAGATATGCTGTTTCAAGCTAAACGAGAACATTGTCTTGCATGAGCTAAAGACATGACTAGTGACATTTTAAAATTATTTTTTAATTATTTTTGTATCTACTATTTTTGTTTGTACTAATTAATCTAAGAAACTTGAATTTAAAAAAACAAAATATTTCAGATTTGTTACAGAACACAATGAACATACAAGAGGTTTGTGTCCAGATAGTCCAGATTCTGGAGAATGTGTGGAGTGAGAAAACTTTATTTGACTTCGCTGTGAAAGTTCAAGATGAAACCATCCAATGTCATCGTCTCATCCTAGCGGCGTGTTCAGAATTTTTCAAAGCGCTGTTCAGGTCTGGAATGAAAGAAGTCACAGAAAACTGTGTTGTGCTAAAAGATGTTTCATGTGAAGTTTTCCGCTTAATCATCAGTACTATGTACACAGGGACAAGTCTGTTAACCTTAGACAATTTTATTGAAGTGTGGCAAGCGGCACATATGCTACAAGTTAAAGTTATGGTTAATGTTTGTGAGGAGTTTGCTATCAGATCATGTTCATTGGACACCTGGGAAAACATTTATCTACATGCAAAGCTTTTGGGTTCAGTAAAAGTGCTAGATAAGCTCCATACATTCATGTTGAAAAACTTTGAAGAAATTAGACATTCAACAACATTTTTTCAACTTTCTTTCAAGGAAACGCATGATTTGATTAAAAGCCAAGATCTCGTTGTCAGCAAAGAAGATTTAGTTCTTGAATCTGTGATACGATGGGTTGAATATGTTGACGGAAATCAGCTAAATCAGAATTCAAATGAGGACCATACAATCAGCGGTAACAACGTAAAGACTAATATCAGTTTATCCAGTGATGAAGCAAAGGAAATTAAAGAAAGTGAGGATGGACTTCATCGTAATAATTGCTTACAAAATTCTAATAAGTCGAAAGGTAGAGCAATGCATGAAGTACACACTGCTTATTCAATTGGTCCTGTAAAGTCTTCTAGAAAAGATAAATTTAGAGAACTGTTAATGCAAGTCAGAACATGCCTGGTTAGTCATGCTGCCTTCTATCGAGTTCTTAAGTTGAGACTGTTTTCTGAAATGGAACATTCGAGAGAATTGATTCTGGACGCCATGTCATATCATGTCCAAGAGTTTAGACACGGTCAGTGGTCTTCAGCTGCTATACACAGATCTTGTAGTGAGTACACAAATGCTGGAATTTATGCTTATGGTAGTAATGGGATTTTCGAAATAATAACCGAGTCAATGGCTTCTGAATAAATTGTGTAGTCGTCTAGTAAAGTTAAAATAATAGAACTGATAATGCAAGCCAGGACATGTATACTTAATCCTGCTCTTTTGTTTTGGAGTTCTAAAGACGAAACTTTTTTCGAAAAATGAGGATTCTAATAATATAATTCTAGATGTGTTGTTTTATTGCGTCCACGACTCTATACACGTCAGTAGCCAACAGCTATATACAGATGTTGTATTCAGTTGACAAATTGTGGAGTTTCTTCAAAACAAAAGGGAAGTTATGCAAAAAATAACCGCTGACAAAGAAAAGCAATTTAATATTATAAAATGTGATTATTTGAAAGAGAACATTGAACTCTATTTAAATTAAATCACATTTCTTGCAACATAATGGTTCAAGAGCAACATCATGAAGTGTTAGTATCCTCACAAAGATAAATAAACTTAGAGTAGACGTCAGCAAAAAGCATTTGGTTAGACTCAATAAAAAGGCAAACAGTCACAAACATTTGGACTCGACAGAGAGTTACTCTGTCTTACCTATTACTTAAGGGCCAGCCGCAGAGTAGAGGATGTTTAGACAATATACGGGGCGAGGGGAGGACGTTGTGCTCAGTGGAAATCAGATGAGGCTACTGCCTCAACAAACATCAAAATCGGATTCTTTACCACGTCATGCACACCAGTTATCCAATAACATTGTTACACAACACCACAGTTATCCAACACCACAGTTAGCCACACATCAGTTATCCAACACCACAGTTATCCAACACCACAGTTATCCAACACCACATTTAGTTTAGTGTTTAGTCGTTCACTAAATGGAAGCAGACACGTTCGCCGGCGCCCGACAGGTTGCAATTTGGCGCCCCGGACTATCCTGGTAGTGCTCTGACGCATACTTTCGCTCCAAAGCTTGTGATAGAATATAGATAAGAAGTATTATTATCGTCGTTCACTAAGCTGAATCAGGCGCGTCTAACCGTGCCCCGACAGGGTGTAAGATTAGCCCCGGACTATCCTTGGAATTTTTTAACCCCGCGGCAAAACGCGAGGACGGGCACGCTGGTGTGCAATTTGGTGACTCGAGTTATTTCGTGAGGGTTTTGACGCCGACGTTTGTTTTAAGCAGACTATGGATACAATGGGGCATTATAGTCATCCACTAAACAATCAGGAGCGTCAGCCCACGTCCCGGTAGGGTGCGATTTGCCCAGGGCTATTCTCGGATTTGTTTCTAGCCCAGAGGCAACGCGGGGGGACGGGCACGCTAGTTTAATATAAATACAATACTACGCTATTCACCATAGATCACTGTATTTTTATCATGGATAACAATGGTTCTGACTTTTATTGTTTTGCTCTCCCTGTCCATTACGGTTGACTTCATTTAGAGCTTGATGTCAGATTTTTAAATTATTTAAATAGTTAAACAATTTCCAAATGGCTTTTCAACGGCTTATATTCGATAAAAAAATTATAAACATGAGTGTAATCAATGGTTCCCAAACGGCTTTAATTTTTACAAATGTAACAATGTTATCCTTGCCATATTTTTAAAAAAGATTTTTATTATTATTAACACTACCTATTTAATTTTGCGCACTATGGTCAATCATTTGCATTAAAATTTCTTTCGCACCAATAAAGCACTACTGTTATCTGGTCAGCAAATGCTGCATTTTATTTTATTATTTACATCCGATCTACGATAAAAAGATGGACAAAAAGGAATTTTGTGTCCAGATCGTCCAGAGTCTGGAGAATGTATGGAACGAGAACATTTTATTTGACTTCGCTGTGAAAGTTCAGGATGAAACCATCCAATGTCATCGTCTTATCCTAGCGGCGTGTTCAGAATTTTTTAAGGCATGTTTTCGTTCTGGGATGAGAGAGGTCACAGAAAACTGTCTTGTCCTAAAAGATGTTTCATGTGAAGTTTTTCGCTTAATCATCAATAATATTTACACTGGAACAAGTCCGTTAACTTTAGAGAATTTTATTGAAGTGTGGCGAGCAGTACATATGCTACAGGTTAAAGTTATGGTTAATGTTTGTGAGGAGTTTGCTATCAGATCGTGTTCATTAGACACTTGGGAAAACATTTATCTACATGCAAAACTTTTTGGTTCAGTAAAAGTGCTAGATGAGCTCCATACATTCATGTTGAAAAACTTTGAAGAAATTAGACAATCAACAACATTTTTACAGCTATCTTTCAAAGAAGTTCAGGATTTGATTAAAAGCCAAGATCTCGTTGTCAGTAAAGAAGATTTAGTTCTTGAATCTGTGATACAATGGGTTGAGTATGTTGACGGAAATCAGCTAAATCAGAATTTAAATGAGGATCATAACCATACAATCAGCTGTAACAACGTAACGACTGATATCGATTTATCTAGTAATGAAGCGATGAAAAATAAAGAAAGTGAGGATGGACTTCATCGTGATAATTGCTTACATAATTCAAATAAGACTGAAATTACAGCAGTGCATGAAGTTACGACTACTCACTCATTTGATCCTCTAAAGTCTTCTAGAAAAGTTAAACTTACAGAACTGTTAATGGAAGTCAGAACCTGCCTTGTCAGTCATGCTGTCTTATTTCGAGTTCTTAAAATGAGACTGTTTTCTGAAATTGAACATTCGAGAGAATTGATTCTGGATGCCGTGTCATATCAGATCCAAGAGTTTAGACACGGTCAGTGGTCTTCAGCGGCTATACACAGATCTTGTAGTGAGTACACAAATGCTGGAATTTATGCTTATGGTAGTAATGGGATTTTCGAAATAATAACCGTTGACAAAGAGCAACAGTTTAATATTACACAATGTAAATATTTGAAAGAGAACATTCAACTCGTCACTTTTGATGGTGAACTTTATGCTACAGGTAAAGAAGTGGGAAACTCTCCATATCGAATGTTTGTCTTCTGTGGAAAAAGCTGGAAGGAAGTCATAGACCTGCCGAGTCCCAATTTGTTATTGGTTTCACACGGAGACTTTATCTACATCATAAACAAAGACGATAAAGTTTTATATAGCATGAACCCAAAAAAGCGGGAACAAAATTTAGAAAAAATTACAGATTTTCCTTCAAGTGATATTGATGTAAAACATGTAATGGTTCTTGAAAACTTTCTTTTATTATTTTGCTCTGAATCTGTAAACGGTGTAGAGCAGATAGCCGTCCATAAATTTGAGATTTTGTCCCAAGTTTGGACCAGATTAGACAATGTTGATGGACCAGCTGAACAGCTGATTAGTTTTAAAAATGATAAACAAAACTACATTTTACAGACAAATGGCAGTTTGTGGCTGGTAGATTACTCCTCTGGCACCGGTAGTATTGGATTGCCAAACTTTGGAATTTTAGGAAGAAGCTGCATGGTGCGTTAACATTTCAAAGTAAACTAATAATTTTGGGAAACAATCCCAATAATGACCCTCTAAATGAACAAAGACTCACTGAGCTGCCTGAGTACTTCACGAGAATATCCCATTGGGGACATGACCTTTGTTATTCACGTTTTGTTCCCATCACTATAACAAAGAACGATTTAGTTCCCATATAAAAGATCCAGTGCGACGACCCACAATTCAACATGTTTATGTAGGTTTCAACGTTTACTTACTACTAGAGCATCTTTCTATACATCACTTTAAGTGTTTATTCTATCACTTTTATTCCATCGGAACACACACGCAAATACAAAGCTACATTATGCGGGTTTTTTTTAATATCCTTTACGTTTATACATTGTCCGCCTAAAAATAAGTGAATAAATAAAGCAAAGCTTATTATTGGTTTTACTGTTTAATGTTTGTAAATCACTTAAACTGTTTGTGTGTGTTAAAATTAGGTGTTTTTGTAAAATAGAATTAGATGACGGGACAGGAAAGGTAGACTATACACGGTGGTTTAGAGAAGCATGCTAATGATTTAGATTTTGTTAAGTTTAAAATGAGGCAAACTTACGTCTTTACAAACTAGCAGAAAGTTATTTAATAACTATATTTATTACAGAAAAAAAAGTGTCGACATACACCAAGACTAACGCAATTTATGCGTTTTGTAGATGTCACTTAAAAATTTGGTTTGTTTGTTTACATGCCATTGATGCTAACTATAAATACACTAATATAACACAGACACAATTCACGAATAACATAAACGTTTTGATAACATTCTGTCACATTTTGAGTAACGTATTTTTCTCTCTTAAATTGCCGATTTAGTTTGATTAAACGTTTATTTATTTTGACTAACATTTGATTTGAATAATCGAACAAGAAATCAAAGTTATAGGATAAAAAAAGTATGATTTTAAAATGTTTTCTACAGTGAGTGTAGATTTTGTTTGGAAATTATTCTAGAAGTTTGTTTGGGGCAATATTTTAGATGCCGAGAATGCATTATTATCCCTAACATATTTCATGTTGTTATCATTGCTGGTTGTAATTAATGACGGGCAACATTCCGGGATTCAAACTTTAAAAAAAAATTGTGACAGAGGTTTTGCCTCAACTTTTGTATGTTATAAAAAATGCGTGATCTCCGTTGGTCTGGCATGGATTCTGTTGCTCCTTATGTTGCGGACAGCGGTCGGACCCGTCACGATACTATGAAATCTATTCGCATACTCGACATTTCTCAAAGCTCAACTACTCAAAAGTTTTCTCATCTATGCAACACAATAAACTTAATTAAATACCAACAACTTCACGATTACTCAACTCTCGTATAGTAAACACTCGTCAAAATCTCTACTTTGCCCATTATTAGACGACGCAAGAATATGAAATCTCTACCAAGCGATCATTTCGACTACCCGACCACTCCAATATTCTTTTCATTCACGTTACACAATCAACTCGTTATCAACATCACGATTACTCAACGCTCGTAAACAGCATCCATTTTGCCCACTTCATCTACTCGACTACGCAGGAATACACTACCGCCTTTCTTTCTCTCAAGCTACACACACAATGAACATTAAAACAAATCAACCTATGCA